TTACCGGCCGCGGGGCTCGGGGGCGGCGAGATGCGGCCGGTGGTCTGAAAGGAGCGGGGCGAGGGCAGCTCCTCCGGGCAACGTTCCAGCCGGGTTCTGCCACCTCACGGTTGAACTCGGGCTTGTCGCGGCAACTGCCCGTTATCGCTTAACGATAAGGAAAACCGAAGCGTAGGTGTGCGAAGGTAGATCCATGTTTTGCTCCTGGGTGAGGTCTCCCCGTTTCTGCCGCTCTGAGCCCAGCCCTGGCACCTGGGCGGTGTGAAAACCGCCTCGGAGAAAGGCACACGGGAGCGAGTCAGTGCTGCAAAACAACCCCCCGTGGCTCCTGTCTTCACAAGATGCAACCGCCCTTCCCTCCCAGAATCCCAGCCCTTCATTTTGCTCCAAGAATGTATTGCTACTGCTGGTGTACGTTACTTCTTAAAAAAAAACCCAAAAAGATCAGCTAGAGCTGGGGCCTTTCTTGCTGAAGGCCTGGGAGGGCAGATGCAGGCTGCGGTCTAGGGTAGCTCTAAGCTGTCTGCCAGGGGCAGCTAAAAATACCAGTGATACGTGTCCAACACTAATTTATGGCTTGCAGCAATAACAGCCGACTCCAGTATATTCATATCAGACATCCAACGTTTCGGTCCGCATTAACACCAACCTAACACTTAATAAAACCACAGGTACACGAGGTTGGAAGGAAACAATATAGGCAACAAAATGACAAGAAAAACACAAGACTTCACCACTACCTCCATCCCTGTACCCAGGAATCTTTAATAGGCACCATTTCAAAAATATATATAGTATTTATTTAAAAGTTGCAGTCACTTCAGCCTAGAGCAGCTCTTCAAACAGTCTTTTGCTACAGGCCCTGTGCAGGTGTTTATGCAGATGCTGCTGCTTGTGCAGCAAGAGAGAGCTAGGTCAGAGGTGAGACGGGCACAGCCCTCACCTCTGGAGACCAGCAGCTCCAGCAGGCCCCTGCTCAGGACTGTGTAATGGCTCTGCTGCTCCCGGGCAGTGGTTTCACGTATGCCAGCAGGATATGATGCAAAGTCCTCTTCAAGACAACTCTATCTCAAAATTTATTTATTTTTTAAACCAGTAACTGAGCTCTGTTCACAATGTCCCTGAAAGGGGGATGATGCCTGTAACAGCTGACTGCAGAGATGACGAGGTTGAGGAGCCAACCATTCAGGGATCATGTCTGATTGTTACTGTGCCAGGTAGCAGTCCATGACCTATCCCCCTCAGCAGGTCCGGTGCCATGAAACACAACCTTCTCAGCTTCTGTTCATTCAGGCTCGTTTCTGTGCTCGCTCGTTCTGTTCAAAATTAAAGTTGAGAGGTGAATGAAGAACCTGTCTAAGGCACAGAGAAGGGCTTCACAGAGCAATGGGACAATTTAATAATCCTTTCTGCCCCAGTTCTCAAACATTCCTAGTCTACAACACAAAATCACCATTTTTCAAGCACAGATATTTATCAGGAGTCCTCAAATTAGACAGCAGGACACTTGCCCAATCACACAGTACAGAAAGTCTATTATGGATCCCTAGTCTACCCATTTGGCAAGCTAAGTGTAACCCTGCTTTTATCTGAAAGCTCCCAACCATCCCACTGGTGTATAAATGAGGGCCTGCAGGAAATGCTTTCCTGGCTTGGAACGCTCAACTTCTAGGCATCATAGCTGTAAATTCTTCTTAAAACTATGTAATGACAAAAAGTTTAATTTCTGCATTGTTTGCCTTTCTCTGGGTAGTTGCCAAAATCCCAGCTCCAGAGGTGAAGAGAGAGGCAGAATAGAAAAGGAAACACCACGAATCATAGAATCATGAAGGTTGGAAAAGACCCTTAAGATCAAGTCCAAACATAAACCTAACACTGCCAAGTCCACCACTAAACCATGTCCCTGAGCGCCACATCTACATGTCTTTTAAATATCTCCAGGAATGCTGCTTACCCTTCTTTTAAAAGAAAAAACTCTTTTTCTTCTCCCCACCCTTTTTATAATGATGCACCCACAAATGCTGCTTTCACACCAAAATGGAAATGTCTCAGTTGAAGGAAAGGATCCTGTACGCTAATACTTGTGCTAGTCATGAGTTGCAATAAACTGTGGAAGTTGTAGTTGGATTTTTTAATTTTCT